ATGCTGAGTCGACACGATGAGTGATGTGTAGGTTGATGCATTTATATGAAGTATAAGTATAAGTACAGTGTCAAGTTCAAAACGAAGTGTTTAGAACACACATCCTTGATTCATGATTTTACTTCTTTAGCGGGCTTCTTGTTGTTTGAGTTTTCTTTGAAAGTTGTGTAAGCTTTAAGTCTGATTATAATTTCTTTATCTAGAATCAGCAATGATTAATATCTTCTCCCTTAAACTGTCATTTGGAAGTATGTAAATTATTACCAAATCATGTCACGGTTGAGTTGGGATGTCACACGAACTGGTATTTAGTTCGTGAAAACCGCTGAGAAACATTAGTTATCATGAATATTAGCTACGAAGAACACATGGATTTAGTTTGCTGATGAAGACAACAGGAAAGTTAGACAACCAGCGTTTTACTAAGTGTCCTTCCCGTCAGCGACATCAACTGCATATATTATTTCAGTTGCTCTTTAGTGAACATTAATGCACATGACCTTTCGTCGCTGAGAAACCACCGCGGAAGCCTATTGCTATTACGCCAATTTGTCCTCAACCGGTTGTAACGGTAGATTCTTTTCGATCATCCATCAATCTCCGATCAACTTGGAACAATCAGTCAATTACTGGCAGCTGGTAAGTATACTCTCTGTTAGAGAACATTAGATTACTCTTCAACAACGATAGTTAATTGAGTCAAACAAGGGCCACTAGCTTTGTTTCATTGTTTAATCTTTTAAAGTTCTATTGTCGCTTCCTTAAAGAACGCTGTTTCCATCTATTCGTCGTTTATAATCGTAATACCAACTCTTCGGCGTTTTCTAAGTTTGAATCAACGAAAGTAATAGAGAAAACACCGTTCCTCAAAGGGAACAACACCGAACACTTTGAACATTTCCTTGTCAGGAAGTCGATCTGTCTGATGCAAAATATATGAAAACTTTGTTGGCTTTTGACAGTATTTGGATTGCCACATTAACAAATAGCTGTTGCTTTAAGGTTTTGGTTGATTAAAGGCATCGCCATTACGGCTGTTCTCTTCACTTTCTTGAAAGTTCGGACCTGAGTAGGTGTTTATTTATGGACCAGAGTAGGTATTTATTTATGTACGTTCATTCAGACTACGAATTCGACACTAAGGAAAGGTCAGTCTAAGCATGTACATGTAGATAATTGATAAGAAGGGTTCTCGCTGACCACTTGTCCATGGAAAAAAATTGAAAATGAATCCGGTTGCTCTTTCATACGGCGGAAAAAAATGGAGAAAAGCTTGGACAGAAGCATACTAATGAGTGATTTAAGAGAAAGCAACATGAATCTTTGTCACACCACCAGGTATCCGTTTCATGAGGTCACGTATCCATCATAATTTTAATTTGTCAAATTGTCGTGGTTTTTGTATTCTGCGTGGCCCGTCATTTTGAATTTAAAACTGGATTTCTTTCTGTAATATCATTATCAAAAAGCTTTACAGCTTAAGCAACTGCCATTGTCTTTTCCTTCATTTAGTTGAAATTACGGTGGAGGAATAAAATTGAAGTGAGACGTCTTTCAGTTTTTTTGTAAAGCATGGTAGAATCAGTTTCACTCCGACCTATGTGATGCTATGTTAAACTGACAGTGCAGACAGGAAATTGTAGGGCATATCTCTGACTGCTAGGTAACGATTTGTCCGTAAGTGACTTTAATGTACAGTGAATTGAATATGCAAACAAGCCAGACTTTAAACTGATACCAGTTAAGACATTTTTAGAGAAATTGAGGCTCATTTTGATCAAGACGTCAGGCGACAAAATATCATTACTCAGGACTGAACGTCTTATTTACATCGACGACGACTTAATTCGATCGTTACCAATACTGTAGGTAATAATTTTTTTTTAGCTGTCAGCTTTTTAGGGACACAAAGAAGAAACAATCTGGAAATGAATCGAGTAAGTCAAAGGCGACTCTTCGAGTTCTTTCATGGGTTCCTTTAATGAAAAGCCTGTACTTATGTCCTCAGGACACTTTGCCGATTTTAAATATTGCCAGATGAAATTAAGTTTTTCAGTTTTATCGTCAAACATCGTATAATTTTGACTTATCTGAAATACACCGTACCACAACCAGCCATTCACAGTAACTCAATAGCGAGATGTTAATGTACATTACGAATCTAACATTGTCTATCGGCCCACGGCAATTTACCTATTCCAACTAAAATTTAGTTGGAATAGCCAACAACAATTGCTTGGCGTGTACATGTGCGATTAAAAGTTACCAATCAAGCTTTCCGTTTTTACAAGAATGACTTGGGTCGCTTTTAACTACAATTTTTAACCAGAGCACAACCCATGCTTCAGAATATCATTTACGTGGGTCTAGTTACACCGGCAGGCAACGTCCAACACCCCATAGGGCAAAACATCTTTCTTCAAATCTTTTAGCGTTCTGAAAACTCACCGTGTTTCTCCGTTCTGATAACTCACACGAGACTTTCGACATTGTTGATCATAGCATTTTGAAGGACGCGTGTCACTTACTAGTTTTGTCCTCAGTAGCTCACCCGTAGAGTCTCTGTGGTCTAGTGGTGGAGCATCGGTACGCGGCATCCGAAGGTCTTAGGTTCTATTCCTAATGGGGCGTCAGGTTCTGTTCCTCATCCCAAGCTCGTGACAAGACGAAAAATATCTGTATTCATGTTAAACAAGTGTTTCCATCCTTTGAGACAGCCGCCAATTGATAGGTACCTGTTCGTTGGTATGTTCGTATGTAGCCCAAGCAAAGTTTTGTAAAGAATCAAAAAGGCTCACTCAGATATTCATGCCCAACTTGACCTTACGCCTCCAATGAAATGGCCCCCATTTTATATCCATGACTATTTTGATGCAAAAGGAACGATCAAAAGAAGCGTCCAGGAAAAAAACTATGCGAATTTCACGGACCGTCCATTAAACTTCTAAAACTGTTAACCTCAATCAACAAAATCCCATCATCTCTTTGATTGCGTTTCTGGCTTTACATCATTGAAAAGCTTATCATAATCTTAGCCCTCCTCAGGGGATCAAAAAAGCTGGTTTTTTGGGTTTTCTTTAGTTGTATGTAGAGATAACATATTTCATTTTCTTGATTCACAATAGGTTAATGCACAACATATGCTTTATGGACCACTTGTTGGTCGCAGTTTTCACTCTTCTACTCTTTGTTACTCTTTCATCAACTGATCAAGGTATGGAATTAATAAAGCCTCATGTTAAACTGGCTGAGGCCATTACTTGATTAATTCTGGAGCCCTACAGGTCTCGTCAATTTCGTTTGCAATGTGGGCAATTTGAATAACGGTCTTACAAAAAATCGATGTATTTTCGAACGAAAGGGTGATGGTTTTTTCTTTGTTTTACCTGAGACCACGTAGTGTTTAAACCGAACAATCTTCATCAAAACAACTTGGATACTACGCATGCAGTCGTTGGTCAAAAGGGGTGTCTAGATGTGACTAAGTGAGTGCGTGTGTGAAATTTTTTACTCACACACCATCCTTTTGAAAATTATCTTACTCCAGCTAAAGAGTACTATCTTTGTGTCTACGTGACCACGGGGCAGACGGTGTGGCAAATCTCGTGTCTATGTCTACGGTTTGCATATTCTTTCGAATTCTCTCCCCGCCAACCCTCTTTGTGCAATAACCCTCTGTGATCAGGGACCAAGTTACCCTGTTCGGTTTGTTTGTTCAATCGTTTCGACTAGTGCAGGAAATTCATGAACACAGAATCAAATCAGAGTAAACTCAACACACGGTTCAGTGTAATTGTTAAGTTTTGTTGAATCGGGAAAAGTGTATCTACAGTTTCACTTTTAACCTCTTCACATCTTTTCTGTTAAGTAATTTTAGAGAAAAAGCCAGCGTCAGGAGGAACATGGATTTGGGACCGATCAAGAATACAGACTGCAGCTGGTGGGCCGGCTGGGGTACGATTCTATCATTTATCTGATGTAAATTAAGAATGCAAGTAAAGAAATGATCCTCACAAGTGAGATGCAATTAAAGTAAAAAAGACTGAAAAAAAATATATGTAAAATTTCAAGCTTCGACCAGATACGAGTCCGCTTCTCCTGGATATTTGTTAGCGGTGCCAACCAACTGAACTACGAAACAACGTTTCGTGGGCCAAGGGAAATTTGTGTGAGCTCTTCATTCCCGAAAAGTAATCTGATCACAGTCGTGATGTATTACAATAGATTATAAAGTTTAGAATTGTACCTAAATATTGTAAAGGTAATAGCATTCCTTTCAAGGTTTATGGGGGGATTTTAGCTTCGGAGAGGCCTCGCAATGAGACTCAAATAGGTTGGCAAGGATTAACTTTCAAATACCTGTCACTCAATTTTGCTTATTTTGATTGTGATTGGTACTGCCTCCCTCGTTTTTAAATGTGAGAAAACCTTAAGCGGGACTCGTCTGGGTTTTAAACTCTTTCTTCTCCTCAATTTTTCTGTGAATAATGACTCTAACTACAAATGACCCTAACTACAAATCTTGAACCAGGGAATATTAAACCACAAGGTTCAGACTGGTAGGCAAAAATTATATTTCGTCAACTGTAGGGGTTTGAGGGTTTAAATCTATACTCAACGAGGTCTCAAGAAACAAACCTTTTTTTTTTCGTTTCCTTATCTTGTTTAAATTTTTAAAAAAATTATTTCTAATCAAAGCTAAGAGTTGTCTATAAGCAGTGCTACTTTGATAATTTTTTCATAATTTTTTTTTTCTCTTTTACTATATTCACCTCTTGTTAAGCCATATGTTTACCTTACTTACTGTAGGAAATTACATACACCAAGCTCACAGCCGGAACTGCTGCTAAATTCTTTCTACTTTATTGAATTTGGACTCAGTCATTACAAAATGGCTTTTTCCTGGGGATTAAGCTAATTAAGCTCATTCTTTAACCACTTCACGATTGAATTGAATCATTTCAACTGGTTATTTCTAATAGTGGACGAAGCTGACATATTACTCAACCTGTGATATTTCTCTGGATTCATTTCCGCAACCAAACAACTGGCTTCGAAGTGATCCCATCGAAGTTCACAGTGGTGTTAAAACAGTCCTCGTTACCATTGAGGACAAAACAAATAACTGTTCGTCGTATTCTGACAAAGGAGGGAAATATTGCAAAAATTATTTCCACCTATACGAACATCAGTCCTGGCAACCAACGAGTCCCGACCCTCTAGCGAACAATGCTACATATGACAAGATTGCGAAAACAGCTGCACCAGCTCTGGGAATCAAAGTAATTCAAACCTTTCGTGTAGATGTTAAAAGAAAGTACATCGTTTTGGCGTTTAATGACCGGGGTTCATGTAGCGTCCTTTTCTCCGTCACCGTTTGTTACTATGTCTGCCCAAGATTGACTCTTATAAGTAGCTTGGTTTTACTACCTCAAACAGTAGCTCCAGCCAACAACTCAAAGCCAGTTGAAGTTAATTGTGTCACTGCTGCCTTTCACAAGCAAGGCACTCTAAGTCTGGATTGTCAGAGTGATGGGGTCTGGAACATCAGTTCACTTAATGGAAGTTGCATATGTCCGGAGGGGATGGAAAATGCAGGAGGAAAATGCGAAGGTATACCACGTAATATGATAAATTTAGATAACGTGGCAGTGCGGTTTTAAATAATGATCTACAAACCAGTTAAACATGACAATTAAGTTATATCAACTGCATTGTTAATGCAAATTGGACACCCTAAAGAGTTTCTAAGCTAATGTTTCGAGCGTTAGCTCTTCACCAATCGCTCTTGACTTACTCTTACCACATTTGCTAATGAATGCGTCTGTCTATAGAAATACCATCTGCCCCCCAAAACGTCAATGTTATCTTTGTCAACCAAAGCACACTGGAAATACAGTGGCAGCCTCCTGTAGAAACTGGGGTTGAGACCCATGTGTTTTATGAAGTTGAATGCCGTCGACCATGTGAAGGCGAAGACAAAAGCAAGTGCGTAGATAAAGAGTGCGGGAGTGATGTCATTTTCAAACCGAGAAAGGATGGCTTGAACATTACTCACGTTATTGTTGGAAACCTTACCTCATTTGTAAACTACACGATAAAAGTCTACGCAAGGAACCGAGTGAGCGATGTGGCGAAAAGAATACATAGAATTCCGGCGAACTTCGCGGCAATTACCATAAGGACTAACGGATCACGTAAGTTATCGAGCAGACTAAATGGAATACCATACAAACTCTTATCTGACTGCTTATTTCTCTAAATAATATGCAGGTAGGATTTGGTGGAATTTAATGGCCCCATCGATTTGTTCACAAATTGCACCATTTTTCGCTCTAAATCGTATTCGTTTTCCAGTCAATGAGAAATCTTTCCTGAATTAACTAATTAGAGGAAAATGAAAGACAACTTTTGCACCTTCTTACAAACCAGCCCATCACTGAATCAATTAGACATTTGTACAACTGAAAAATTATTTCTTTGAGCGACTGAATTTTGCGATTTTAAAATGGATGTAATAAGGTGGTAATTGAACCTCGTGTCGTGCAATTTCTTATACAAATTGTACTTACCATAAAATATCAGAGTTGATTCTACTGTCGAAGTTCATGACGGCTTATTTATCTCTGTTTTAACAAACTAGTTCCAGGTAAACCGGAAGTGACTGTTGAACAACCGGAAGAGACTGTTGTAGTATCTTGGACTCTAAAGGAAAAGAACGGCGTCATCAAAGAGTATCACGTGACTTATGTAAATGAGGATGATGCGTCGGAAACCAAGACTCTCACCACAAAGAAAATGGAAGCGCAGTTTGATTTGAAGGCGGGAAAAACTTATAAATTTCAGGTCGGCCAAACTTTCTCAAAAGTTTGAATTAACTTAAGCATTAGTCGAAGGTGCTTCTTACGCTCGTGAGGAAGAAACCTTTTGAGATAAATGCTTTACTATTACCTTCCCAGGTATTTGCTACAAACGGCATTGGAAGAGGCCCAGCTGGGATCAAGACGTACACGCTGAGAAAAGGTTAGTTTGTTCATCGTCGTTGAGTCAATCTGCTGTAAGATTGACATTATCAAACTATCAGCTAGTGTATCTAAGTTTTCACATTTTCTTTCCAACCATTCCCGTGAGTGAAGTGGAAAAACTAAAATTGAATAAAAGCTTATTAAAGTTTTAGTTCATATGCTGGTCTACGATGAGAACAACTCAATCTAATAACCGACCACTAGAGCCTTAATTCAGTTAAGGAAGATTCTTCTTGCGACCTTTTACAGTTTTATAGACAGGAATGATTGTAAAGATATCGCAAGTCTAGACAAACGAAAATAAACCGGAAAGGAATGAGGAAGGTTACGGATTGAGAAGATCATCACAGCTTGTCAAGGACAAATTTTATAAGTAATCCTTTAAATTGTTTATTTTGTTGTTGTTGCTGTGAGGCATAAACCTTGAAGTGGCTCCTTTGAGCAACAATGAATGAATGAAAAATAAAATTAAATGAAAGAAATAATGACAGAAATGCGAGGGAGAAATAACGATTGGACGGAAAGATTAGAAATTATGTATTTGAAAACCGTATAATAAAATTGAAGCTAATTTTCTCTGATCGAAAGTTATTAGATTTCATTTTTTCCCGAACATTCTAATTGAAAGATTGAGTAATTACTGTCGTGATTAAATGGTTACAGATAACTCGAAGAAAATACAGCTTATTGTTTACGCAGCTGGAGGAGGAGGAGCACTGCTGCTCGTTATACTAATAGTGGTCATTGTTGTCTTTGTCGTGTCTCGTAGAAGGTAAGTATTTTGCAGAAAATGAGGTGTTTTTAATTTTACCTTGAGATCAGGTCTTGATTTCATTAAAATGGGAGCGAAAATCAGTTATCGTCTTTATCTAAAGTATGGTGCGATATATATATTTATGTGTGTTAAACTAGGAGAAGTAAAAAGAGTGTAGAGGAAGCCTATATGCAGGCCCTTCAGCAAGGTAAGGCTATTTGATATTAGTACAGCTGACGTTGTACCTCGAAATCTGCGATCTGATTGGCTTTGTTACTCACTATCCACACCTAGCAGACATCGAGTAAATTGGGCTGTAGTAAACAAAAAAAAGTAAAATTATGGAATTGTCGTGTTGTCCGGATCAGATTTGAACGACTAGCAGATTAACATTATCACAACTAGAACATTCGCTTTGATTAATTATCACCAACAAGTTAAGATTATTGCTCAATTAATTTACAGAGTTTCTGCATTTTCGAGTGACATGATTAACGCTTGACCAATTAGCGTGTATTTACGTTTATAATCACCTGGCTTGTTGCAAATAAATATGCGTTTCCGCTCTCTTCTCTTTCGCTTCTACTCTGTCGAAGCCACTTATACAAATGGAACTGTGCAGTTACCAAATCATAATATCATTGCACTTAAAGCAAATCATTGACGTCTTTATGCCATATTGGCCATTCAAGGACAGAAAAGACATTACCTCCTTTAATTGCGTACCGTAATTGAGATGGTAGTTTCAGAGGTGTGATGTAAGTCAATATTTCCTGAAACTTTCCATCTTTAGGAAATGAACTTCAAACCACGAATCCTCGAGACCAGCGAACCTACATCGACCCTAACGACTACATCGACGTACAAGAACTTCTGACATCATTCACGACTGAACTAAAAAGAAGTGACATCAAACTCGAAGGAGTTATCGGACAAGGTAAATGTTTAACTTAGATCAATGTAGACGATAAGTTGAAAGTTGTTGTGTCAGGGAAGGGATAGGTTCGCAGTTGCTCAGATGCTTAGATTGATCTTTTAATTTTAGTATATATTGATACCTACAGGTTATCATATTTAGCTTTTGCGTAGTTGTCATACAAATGTTTGTCAGATAACTTTTCGTTATCAATGGTTTTTTCTTCTCTAGGGGAGTTTGCGGATGTCTACAAAGGAATATTGAAGTCTCGTGAAGGAGTGGTTGCTGTCAAAGTCTTGAGAGTCAGTCCCGTCATGCATTGCTTTGATAAGATGGACATCGTACAGCGTAGCTTAAATCATTCAGTCAGATTAACTCTACTTATCTTTTGCTGATACGTGTAGCTTTGCGTTATCTATTTCGTCCTCTCAAATCATACTTGTTTCTTATCCCACCATTGATGACGAGATTCATAAATCCAGTATCATAAGAGAATGTCGATGTTGCTATGATAAATGCACTATTTCGTTGAAATGTTCCTTTTTCTTCATTTCAGCCTGGTTCCAGCGAGAAAAATCAGAAAGATTTTCTTTCCGAAGCGTCCTTAATGGGCCAATTTGATCACCCAAATGTTATCCGCCTCGTCGGAGTGGTGACACGAAGTAAGAGGAGAACTGAACAATCTTTAATTAGGACTCGAAAATGAAATCATGAAGCTACTTTGTGTCAGCCATAACATACGGTTATATATGATGATACTAGGTTTAAAGTTGGATTAATTTCCATGCTTTCAGGTAGACCAATGATGATTCTAACGGAATTCCTGGAAAGTGGATCATTGGATCACTTTTTACAGGTTCGAGACTTGCATCTAGTTTTCTGTGTGCTTGGCTACGCTTCGTTTGTAATGGATAAGAATAATGAGTTGGTTCTTGATCTCGCCTGGCTAAACACCTTATACAATGATACTAGATTTAAAGGTTCAGGTAGACCAACAATACAGGTTCGAGACTTGCATCTAGTTTTCTGTGTGCTTGGCTACGCTTCGTTTGTAATGGATAAGAATAATGAGTTGGTTCTTGATCTCGCCTGGCGAGGGTTTAACAATATTCTCCTGTAAAGAACAACAATAACAACAACCAAAAACAACTACTTAAACCTAATCAAAAGACAGAAAAAAAAGTTCTGATAGGGTGGCTTGCGCTTGTAACTGCTCATTTTGTGTCATAAACACCTTATAATGCAGTAATTGTAGTGTTTTAAAATTGTGATAATGATGCACTTTACGGAAACCCTTTACATCTCTCCATCAACCTTCTTAACAAAGAAAAAAAAGAAGGCCTTGAAGTTCTTCCAAATTGTCCTCCCTTGATTTACGTTACGGCTACAGAGCAATTGAACATGTCGTATCTTAACCAGTTGCATTCGGAAACATCCAGGGTATTTAAATTTAGGTGGCGGACCCGGAGGACCCAGAAAGATCCTACGTTACAAAAAATGAATTGAAGTGAAAAAGCTCAGACAAAAGGGAAATTCAAGGCATTTTTAGTACTTAGTTAAAAACGCTCCCTTAAAAAATCGTTAATAATTTATTTATACATTATTCCAGTCCTAATGCAAATAAAAATGATGACTAGTTTCCTACTTCTAACCTCGTCGACTACGCACCTAGAGTTAGCAGAGAATGGAGCCTCCATTGATCATTTGGCCGGGAGGGGGAAGGGCTTATAGAGGTACAACTGTAGCTCATTGATGTACCCTTCTGATTATATTTTCATACTTCTGCGCTACAAATTAACGGGAAATGTAACTTTAGCGGAACTAAAAAGCGTTCACAACATTTATCACTTATGCAAACTCAGCTGAACCTCTACCTTCGCTATAAACTTCAAACCTCTCCAAATTTCTGGCTGCATTGTCAAATGAAGTCTCTTTTCAGAAAAATCTATGACGATTTTGTACCTGTATCCATGAAGTACCAATATCTAAAGAGCAAACATATATTAAAACTGTCAGGAAAACTTCGCTCTCGAACACATAATGGCAAGTTTGTTTTCAGTAGTTTCTTACCCTCAAGTTTTCCGCCATCTTTGATTTCCGCTGTACATACCAGCTACTTACCACTGGCTCAGTTATGACTTGGCAAAAATGGCGGACGAATGCATTAAAACAGCGAACGCAGGCACAGCTGTAGATGACTCCATTGAGGGTGACCACTTGTAGCTATTGCAATGAAAGAAGCTTTTTACAAAAATGGTCACAAAATCGACGTGAGCTTAGTCAACAAATATCGTGGAATGGAGAAGAGAGACGCAATTCAGAGTATCTTGAACGACAGTTCTGACAACTGAACCAGGAAATTTCTTTTGCTGACCTTTGGTTAACAAGTAATTTTAAAGCTTGTTAAATGTAATGTGATGCAACTATTTTGGAAATATGTAAATTATTACAAAATCGTGTCACGGTTGAATTGGGAAATCACACGAATTGATATTAGTTTCTGAAAACCGCTGAGAAACATTAGTTATCAAGAATATTAGCTACGAAGAACACATGGATTTAGTTTGCTGATGAAGACAACAGGAAAGATAGACAACCAGCGTTTTGCTTAATGTCTTTTCCGTCAGTGAAATCAACTGCATATATTATTTCAGTCACACTTTAGCGGACATCGATGCACACGACCTTTAGTCGCTGACAAACTACCGCGGAAGTCTAATTGCTATTACACTATTTTGTCCTCAACCTGTTGTAATGGTAAATTATTTTCGATCATCCATCAAACTCCGATCAACTCGGAACAATCAGTCAATTACTGGCAGCTGGTAAGTGTACTCTCTGTTAGAGAACATTAGATCATTCTTTAACAACACAACGATAGTTAATTGAGTCAAGTGAGTGGTTTATATCATTGTTTACTCGTTTAAAGTTTTATGATCGCTTCTTGAAAGAACCCTTTTTCTATTTATTCATCGTTTATAATCTTAATACATACTCTTTGACGTTTTCTAAATTTGAATCAGCGAAGGCGACAGAGAAAACATTGTTCCTTTAAGGGAACAACACCGAACGCTTAGAACATTTCTTTGTGAGGAAGTCGATTTGTCTATTGCAAAATGTTTGAAAACTTTGTTGGCTTTTGACAGTATTTGGATTGTCTCATTAACCGGACCAGAGTAGGTATTTATTGATGCATATTCATTCAGAATTCTACGTTAAGGACAGGTCAGTCTAAATATGCACATGTAGATAATTGACAAGAAGGGTTCTCACTGACCACTTGTTTATGGAAAGAAATTGAAAATACATCCGGTTGCTCTTGCATACGGCGGAGAAAAAATGGCAAAAAACTTGGACAGAAGCATATTAATGTGTGACTTAATTGAGAAAACAACATAAATGTTTGTCACACCACCAGGTAGCCGTTTCATGAAGCTACATCTGGATCACAATTTTCATTTGTCAAATTGTCCTTGCTGCTTTATTTTGCGTGGCCCGTCATTTTGTATTTAAAACTGAAATTCTTTCTATAATACCATTACTAGAAACGATACAGCTTAAGCACCTTCCATTGCCATTTTTTTTTCGTTAAAATTACCGTGGAAGAATGAAATTGAAGTGAGAGGTCTTTCAGTTTTATAGAGTCAGTTTCACTCTGACCTATATGTTGCTAGGTCAAACTGACAGTGAAGATTAGTCCTTAACTAACTCTAACTTTAACAGTAAATGATATTCTAATGCAGCGGATATGCAAAAAAGCCAGATTTTAAACTTATGTCAACTGAGACATTTTAAGAGAAATCGAGGCTCATTTTGATCAAGAGACGGTCAGGGAACATAATATATGTGACGTAAATGAAAGTGATCCTCGCAGTAATGTGCACTACTTGGGCAGTAGTGAAAATAAGGCCTGAAAAAAAATTCAGGCCTGTACGGGATTTGAACCCATGACCTCTGCGATACCGGTGCAGCGCTCTACCAACTGAGCTAACAAGCCAACTCCCAGTTGACTTGATAGCTCAGTTGGTAGAGCGCTGCACCAGTATCGCAAAGGTCATGCCTGAATTTTTTTCAGGCCTTATTTTCACTACTGCCCAAGTAGTGCACATTACTGCGAGGATCACTTTCATTCACGTCTTTATCGGCAATTTATCATCACTTTTCGAATAATCTTTCGTATAATTTGGATGAATCTGAAATGCGCTGTACATAATTGTAAGACTTCATAAGCAGTTGTTCATTACGTATCAAACATCCTACAACGGCACACACTAATTCTCTTACATGCACCCAGTGCTTGCAGCGATCATTTCTTTCAATTTTTAGGGTAACATGGTTTATTTTCAAAGTTCCATAATCCTGTAAAAAGGGGAGGGGGGTGGGATGGGGTATGAAACAAGCTGCTTCCTTGTAGTTACTTTACCTTTTTTCACAAAGGGATAATGTATTTGATATCTTGATTCAACAACAGATCAACGTTCATCATATGCTGTATGGATCACTTTTTGGTCACAGTTTCAATTCTTCTACTTTTTGTGACCCTTTCATCCTCTGATCAAGGTATGTGGGATCAATAAAGAGGGTTGTAATGAGGTGATGGATTTCACGGCTGACGATTAAAAATTTGGCCATTTTACGGCTAACGGTTGATTTTTTCCGTTATGGTTAAATTAAAAAGTTTTACGCGAAACTTTCTTTACGACTTATGGTTAAAAATTAGTCCATTTTTACGGTTAATGTTTGTCAGATCAGAAAAGCTGTCAAATTTACACAACTTCATTAATAACCTTTCAACACATTTCTCTGTAGTGATTTTAGAGGAACAGCCAACACCAAGTAAGAGCTGGATCTGGGATGCATCAAGGCCAGCTGGTGTATCCGGTGGGCCGGCCGGGGTATGATTCTATCTTTTAACTGTTGTTTAGTCATCTGAGTTTAGTTCATATTCTTCAATACTCTTTTAATATTTTTATATGTATTATTCCACAGTGGACGTGAATTTTACATGGTTCTTAAGCATACTTTTCTTTTAAATAAATACTGAAATGAAGCTTGAGAAGATCCTAAGAAAATAACGCGATCTATCACAACATTTTCTTTTCTTTCGTATTTTTTCCCTTTCCAATCAAAAACTGTCTTTTTAAGCTGAAAATTTTCAATAAGGAATGCTACCTGCAGAATTTCCCTGTGAAAGGTTGTCCCCTTTCACACGGTTTTAACCTCTCGTTTAGTCATAGGTCTACTTTAAGCACTGAAGCTGGAAGTTAAAACATGGATGTTCTCAATTAAAACCCCCAAAACACAGTGCTATAATGAATGAAATCCAGTGTTCCTCGGTTACAATCGAAAACAGCTCTTTTTTTAATGGATAGAACCTAATAACCTCCTAATATATTATTCCAACTTATTAATAGTGGGCGAAGCTGACACATTACCAAACCTGTGACATTTCTCTGAATGGACACCCACAACCAAACAACTGGCTGCGAAGTAAACCTATAGGGATCCACAGAGGAGTGAAAGCAGTCGACATTACTATTGAGTACCGAACTAAGAACTGTTCGTCCTATCCTGACAATGGAGGGAAATATTGCAAAGAGTATTTCGACTTATATGTACATCAGTCTGAGCAACCAAAGGAACCCGACCCTCTGACAAACAATGCTACTTATGACAAGATTGCTAAAACAGTTCCGTCAGCTCTTGGCAGCAGAGTATCTCAAACGTTTGGTGTAAATGTTAAAGGAAAATACATCGTATTGGCTTTTCATGACCAGGGTTCATGTACTGTCCTTTACTCCGTCACCGTTAAATATTATTTCTGCCCAGAGACAGTTCATGTTCGTGGTTTGGTGAACTTACTACGTACAATGGCTCCAGCCAACAATTCAGAGCCAGTTGTAAGTAATTGTATCAAAAATGCCGTCAATGAGCAAGGTATTTTAAGGGTGAACTGCCAAAGTGATGGGGTCTGGAACATCAGTTCACTTCAAGGAAATTGTATATGCAAGATAGACATGGAAAATGCAGGAGGAGAATGCAAAGGTATAGGTGATATGATAAATTAAGATAACCTGCAATTGTTGTTTTGATTTTTTAAAATTGTCTCTACTTACGGTACATTGCCTTTGATAAGCGGACCAGTAAACACGTTCTCTAAGTGGCTACGTCGTGGTGTATACATATTGAAAACGTTTAGCATAAAATGTACGATTTCCTCATTTGTATTCCGTTCTAGCCTTTACCGTACTTAAACATCTTCCTTTTATTATGGCGTGTTGTATCAATGTCGGTATCAAAGCAATTGCGAACCTATCCATCGTTCCCCTAACCTGACGAAAGTGGCCTGATAGGAAGTTAAGGTTAAAGTTGGGTTAGGGGAAGGGTAGGTGTGTAGTCGATCAGACACACAGTGATTCGCGTTTTTTTAGGTTAAGTTAACAATGTGACACAAGCATCAAATGTTATAACTCCAAATGATGCCGGAAAAATTTTCGTTTACTGCGTCATACTTATGGTCACGCTTGTGTCCCTAATTAAGTCCTCATACTTATAGTCCTGTTTATGCACATGCATAAAGCGCAATGTGAGGCAGCCAATAATTTTTTGTGGTCTCCTCCCTTGCTGGGGGTAATTTTGCATGTCGGTCAAAAACGACTTACCCAATAAACTTAACTTAGAATTAGGATTGAACGGAGTTCGAATGAAAGAGTATTTCGACTTATATGTACATCAGTCTGAGCAACCAACGGAACCCGACCCTCTGACAAACAATGCTACCTATGAGAAGATTGCTAAAACAGCTCCGTCAGCTTTTAGCATCAGAGTGCCTCAAACGTTTAGTGTAGATGTTAAAAGAAAGTACATCATATTGGCTTTTCATGACCAGGGTTCATGTACTGTCCTTTACTCCGTCGCTGTTAAATATTACGTCTGCCCAGAGACAGTTCATGTTGGCGGTTTGGTGAACTTACCACGTACAATGGCTCCAGCAAACAGCTCAGAGCCAGTTGTAAGTGGTTGTACTAAAAATGCCGTCCACGAGCAAGGTATTTTAAGGGTGAACTGCCAAAGTGATGGGGTCTGGAACATGAGTTCACTAAACGGAAGATGTATATGCATGGAGGATATGGAGAATACGAGGGGGGAATGCAAAGGTACACAATAACATAGAAGTGCAGTGCTGAATAATTCTTCAGGACTAAAACCTTCTCAGGCTGGCAACATGATTAGACAAAAAGATGATTAGTTGTTAGCTCGGTAATGAAATAGAGTGTCAAGAATAAAATCACCGAAAGTCAATTGAAATGACGTTCCAATGACTCGTTTATCATTTTTCAAAGTCTGAGATTCCGATGAGTTTTTTTATTACTAAAGAAGCGTGTAAAAGTCTCGTTGCATGTGATTAAAAACTCTACAATGTAGAATGTAGAGATTGTTAATTGAGTACTAAATAGTTTTGCCATAATTGAGTCAGATTTAGTTTTTAGTTTAGGTTTTTTCCCTGGATGAAGAGAGAGCATTTCGTAAAGTAAGCATTCAAATTTCCCACGACATTACTTGAGGATGGTAAATTGTTCGTGTAGATCTTTGTTCCTCTGATTGTGGGCGTTACGCAGCTGTTTTCCAGTAGCTAAGAGCTTGTGTTTAACAATATGTTGGAAAGAGTGTCAGGTGAAAAAGAGGATAAGCGTTTTTGCGTCTCGTTACAAACGTAGGAGAAAGAGAAAATTTGGATTCCCCACGAGGAATCAAATCCCAGACTTTCGAATTTTGCATTCCGACACTCTGTCAGAGAGACTCTCTAAAGCGAACGAGCTCAGTACTAGTTTCATAGATAGTGCGAAACGCTTCCTGCACACTGTTAGGGTCAGCAAAAGTCGAAAGCGTCAAGTAAAGAAATAAAATAAAAAAATATGAGAAACACGAGCCCAGTAATGTAATAGACAAAGTCTAGTAAGGAGACGAAAAAAGCACATTTCTCTACGATCAGACAATTAAAACAATTGGAATATGTATCCTCAAGACCTCTCGCCTATATGTTTCAGTTTCATCACTCAAAATCATTGCAAACCATCGCCAACCCCCAAAACTTCTTCGTTCCTTTTTGGTCTTCGTCTTCTGATTGAGGTGCTTTATCTTGAGACCAGCTCTCACTGCGACATAAGCATAAGTATTAGCGTGAGAAAACTCGATTTATTCCTAGTATAAATAATAGAATGGCGGAAGCTTTTACTCTAAGGAAATAATCTAATCAACTGATAACTCCATAGTCAATTACGAGCATAAGTTTCAACTAAATGAAATTCAAATTTGACAGGATCAATTTCCACTTGAGTACGTGAAATCCCAGTTAAAATGAATAAACTCTTTATATTTAGTCGTTTGGAAAGTGACTTGTTAGTGATAGGGATGGCTTGTAGAATGTAGGCTAGACCGATGGTAATGGCCTTTCCCTCCGTCACTGGTTATTGAAGAAAACGCTAAACTCCACAGTTTAGCTCAACTTATTTGTCTTTGGCTGAGATGGATGAAAATTTTTAAATCGACTTTATCAAGATATCGATATAATTTCCTTCTTCAGATTGCCCAGAAGGTAAATACAACGAAGGGAATGGCTTTAACTGCACAGGTACGGATGCAAATATAGCTTTGTAATTTGAATGGCGTCTGTTCGATTATAGTTAATTGGTTAAGTGGTCCCAAGCTGTATCCAACTCTTCATATTTATTTTCAGTTGTTAGTGCATCACTTTACCGTGGATATCTCGAAATTTTGGTTCACTTGCGATTAATTTTTTCATCTTCGTGTGACATTTATCCGTAAATTATATCTTACACATTTGTCATTTCTACTGTATGAGCATCTGTTGAACAAATCTGACGCAATCTCCTGTTGTAGCCATAAAGCAAACCAATAACACCAAATTCGTAAGAATGTTTCCTTAATCATTCTCTGGCAGACAAGCATGAAAATTTTAAACATTTAGGTGATGGCCTATTTTTTTCGGGTGGTCACTTAGTTTACAGGGTTGATTTTCCTAAAAAATAATGGAGAAAATATACTGTTAAATATAATTCATAAAAGATGATTCCTGAATAAATATTCTTGTTTTCCCCTCACAACATATCCAAATTCAGTTATACCATCAGCCCCGAAAAATGTCCAAGTAATCTACGTTAACCGAAGTGCGTTGGAGTTAAAATGGCAGCCTCCTGCAGTAACCGGTGACCAGACCCACGTGTTTTACGACGTCGACTGCCTTAAGCCGTGTGAGGGTGAAGAAGAAAACAAGTGCGTTAATAAAGCTTGCGGGAGTGACGTCATTTTCATACCAAGAAAGGATAGCTTCAATGTCAGTCACGTTATTGTTGGAAACCTTACTTCATATGTAAACTACACCATGAAAATCTACGCTAAGAACCGAGTGAGCGAAGTAGCGAGAAGGAAACATTGAATTGAGGCAAGTCTCTCGGAAGTAACAGTGAGGACAAAAGGATCAGGTAAGTCATGATCGGCTCCTTGACTAAAGAAAGTATCACACAAATTCCCATCTATTTATCTATTGTTTCGGTGTAGAGACTTAGGGTTACATCACAGTTCATTTCATGATTCAAAGTTTATGATTCATCTCTGTGAAAAAAACTAGTTCCAGGTAAACCGGATGTGTCTGTCGAACAGTCGGAAATGGCTGTTGTTGTATCTTGGACATTAAAGGAAAAGAACGGAATCATTAAAGAGTACCACGTGACATATATAAGAGAAGATGAGAACTCAGAAACCAAGACTCTTGCCACCAAGAAGATGGAAGCAAGGTTTGATTTAAAGGCTGGAAAAACTTATCAATTGCAGGTAGAAACATTTTATTACTTATCCGAGTTAATAAACAGTTTATAATCTCTTTTAGAAAAAAAAAGTTTGTTTAAGGCAACTAAATAACAAAGTATTAAATATTTAAGATTGAATGTTTGGCACTCTTAAGGTTCATGAAGTATAAGTGATTGTAAAATGCACGATGGCTGAAAAAGAACGTCTAACCTTAGCTCCATAGGAAGACGCTATTTTTGTGCTCTTGAGGAACAATCCTCTCTAATGAATACTATGATTTCTCTTCCCTAAGGTATTTGCCATAAACCAGATCGGAAGAGGACCTGCAGGAGTGAAAAATTTTACAGTGAAAAACAGTTAGTATGTGTACTTCGTTGCGAAGTCACTTTACTTGTAAGATTGACTTATTGGGACTCCCTTAACTATTTCAGTTTGAGCATTTTCCTTCTAGTTATTCCTATAATTTCAGCCCAAAATGATATCAGTCAATTTTGTGTCCCTTAGCTCTTGGGCTCCCATGACACCAAGAATCCGAAAAGAGGACTATCATGAAGTTAGAAGAATTGCGTTACGACCTCTTTTTAGGTTAAATATAGGGGAATTTTGAAATGATAGAGCTTGAGTAGAAAAGCAACAAAGATATCAGATTATATATTAGACCAAAAGGAAGGTGGGTGGTTAAATACGTTGGAGATCAACCAGTATTGTAAAAGACAAATCTAAAGGAATTCCAGTTTTTTTCGTAAGGCATAACGCTGATGTACTTGGATCAAGCCGGAAATTTTGAACAGAAATAATGATAAGAAATTTGAAGGAAGGAGTTTTTCGGAAAGGTACTATGAAGAAAGAAAATAAGAAATTAGTTAACTAGGAACGAGTAATGGGTGTTCAGCTAAGTTTCTCTGTTAGGAAAAGATAAATTCTTTAGGTTTTCGCAATCTTAAAAAAAAGTATGGAAAAACGATCACAGATGGAATACACATGATTCAATGCCCTTTCACTTCAACGTTTGGCATTTTAAGTTATACACACACTCTTAGCGGTAAAAAAAAAAAACAATTTCTATTGACAGTCTTGGTTCCATCAATTCACGTAAATTTTTGACATCGTCTCTTAAAGAAAGTTGAACAAATTCTAATTTTGTTGTTGCTTTTATTTACTGTTAGAAACCAAGGTTGAGACCTATCTAGGGGTCGTCTACGCATTGGCTGCCTTACTAGTACTTTGCGTCATGTGTTTCGTCTGTTATATCGTGTGGAAAAGGTAAGTTTGGAAGGTATCTAGCAAAGAAGAACATGGGAAATTTCAGCTCCGGAAGCCATTTAAGTTGAAGAATACTCTAAACAAGTTAAAAAGTCTTAGAGCTGTAAAAGAACTTACCAAAACACAAGAAATTCACCAAGTCACGAGTAAATATTAAGTTTGTGTTTTATTTAGTGGATAAAAGGTTAGTGTCAAATTTGAGAATTTCTGAAACATTCAGATGACCTATGTAGCTCAATTTTTTCTGGCTAAACGTTTTCCAAGCTAGTCGACTAAGTTTCCTTTATCTTCGTCTTGAGATCATAGTTATCGTTTGAGGCAACAGAAAGTGAAACATATTTTAAACGTAGTCAAAACTGAATCACCACAAAGACGCTTGAAGGGATACAAACATTTCAACTAAAATGTGTAAAACTGAAAATGAAATTTTAACTGTCAGTCAATCTTCTGGCTTGGCTTCATGCTTCCCTACCTTATTATATTTCTACATTAAAGCGAAAGAAGAGTTTAATAATTTCGTATTTGCGCCAATAGATGGTGCCGAAGCCGAATTGCTGAGAAAAGGGCAGCTGAATCCAACATTAGGGTATATGATGGTAAGTCCAGTTTATATCCCACTATATCATAGAACATACCAGAACATTACAACCAAAAGGCCCCATTTATATGGTATTGGGTACGCGAGCCAACTCTCCCCCCGAGTTACCCTAAGCGAGCTAACTTTTCACTTATTTCTTTACAAAATTCAGCCGACCGTTTACATGAGGTTGTGAACTCATCTCGGGAAGGTGAGACAACTCGAAGGGAAGGGGGAGGGGGGAGGGGATGCGTGCGCACGCTAAGGCAAGGATGTTTACAGCTATTCTTTCCCCGTCGTCTGCCATTTTGTCGAATATGTAACGTGGCCGAACGAGGGTTAGCAGATGTCAAATTTCATATCAACGCCCCGTACACTTGTCTCTATCCACAGGCGCACAAACTTCCCTCTTGAGGAGATAAACATAGTAAAGATAAATAAATAATAATTATAATAAGGGAAGACTCCATAGAGTCGCTTTATTTGCCTTGTGCAGAAGAGAGACAAAAGCAACAAGCAACTGCGGAGAGCCTTAGTTTGTTTTCGCTTTCTGCATGCTTACCATTGGAAATTTTTCCTTAGAAATTCCGATCAGTTCTCTTCATGAGTATCAAAATGTGGATGGTTTTAAACTTGACCGTCAAAGGTTAACCACAGTTCAAGTACTTGGAAGTGGCAACTTTGGTCAAGTTTGTAAGGCAATTTACGGACCTTTGAGAACTGAAGTTGCTGTTAAATCATTAAAAGGTATGTTGATCACCATTTTTTACTGGCTGGAAAATGTTTCAAATGTCTTTAATAGATCGGAATTCATCAGTTTCATTTAATCCAATCTTGCTTTCAAATATAGCTGTGTATGTACTCTTGTCCGAGTCCGTTATAGATATGATGAAGGTTCTCGTCAGCTTTCTTCTGTAAACCTGATCATTTAGTTTGTATCTTAACATTACGTTTTAGATAATGCCCTGCCGAAAGACGTGCAAGATTTTAAAACTGAGTTGGCCTTTATGAGCTCCTTGCAGCCTCATCCCCATGTGGTAAAACTAATTGGTTGCTGTATTGAAAAAGGTACATCCTGATGATTAACTGATGCACGTGAATGATTAATTGACTGATCGAGAATAACCTTGGGCTTTTGTTTGATTCCAGATCCCTCACTAATAGTTTTGGAGTATTTAGTGTATGGTGATTTGTTGGGATACCTGCGTAAAAGCAGGGGAATTGAGGATACCTATAACATAGGAGAAAAGGGACCAAGTTCATCACTGAGAGAGAAGGACCTCTTGTCTTTTGCGTGGATGATCGCTGATGGCATGAATTATTTAGCATCAATGAAGGTAAACTTGACATTTTTCACCACGAAAAACGAGGAAATCACAAGAAACCTATTTCTTCCTAGAAACTCGTATGTATTGCAAAAGGGTGGATATTAAAAGTACTGTATGATCGCAATACATTTTGCATTTTTCATCGTGCCTTTTAGCACGATGCAAAATAATCACCCTTAACGGAGTCTCTGTGTAAAAGAAGTTAGCGAAGTTTAATTAAGAGTATGTGGCCAAACTGGGAAAACTTTGATCGCACAATTTACATTTTATTTCAATACCAACTCGGCGCGGACAATGATAAATGGGGAATAATACATGGTTGTAAGACGACCTGACGTGATTTGTTTATTGTACGTTACATGAATGTTGATTAATTATGAGGAACTCGCCTACCTGGGCGAACATTTAGGCGTGAACTTTAAATACTTTTATTGTATAAACTGTACTGCTATACAAGGATTTCCAATCCTGAGAAAGGCCTTATCAACACAGGTGAAAAATATGATAAATTCACGTGTGTTCGATATCGCCAATCAGCTGCTGACACGTCACTCGCCTCTTCGTGCCACTCCGTGAATACCTTAGTCATTCTCAATCGAAGGTAGTTTGTCGAAATTTTTCGCCTCGGATCATGGCTACTAAAACGCTGAAAAATTGTCATGGCTAATGGGGGGAAGACAACCAAAATACGAAAAACAAAAACCGAAAGTTACATAATCAGTGGCTTTGCTAATGGAATTTCTCACGGCTGAAAACGAAAATCTATAACAGGAAGATTTGCCACTACTAAGCCGATTTTGGCCGTGTACCTGAAAAGATCAATAAAAATTCAATACTTGAGAACTTTGTAAATTGAAAGTTAGCCGCGCTCACTCGTGAGCTTTCTTGTTGAACGCTCGAATAGAAATTACATTTCTACTAGCAACCATGAATTATTCCGTTTGAATTGCCGGAATTTGATAGTTGACCGCAAGAAGGGGGTGATCGCTGAATGGTAGGCCACTATAGAGGTTTATTTTCAGTAGCAAATGAATATCTGTACGAAAAAGAGAGTTGAAAAAAGGGTTGAAAATGAAAATTGAGAACAAAATTAAAAGAGCTTATGTTTCTCTCAAGACGTCTCTGAACAACTCTTGTATGTTGTGTTTCAGATTGTTCATCGAGATTTAGCAGCTCGAAATGTGTTAGTGGGTGACAAAAAAGTGTGTAAGATATCAGACTTTGGTTTAGCACGTGGTTTGGAAGAAGACATCTACACGAGAAAAACTCAGGTGAGCTCTAAATAAACTTTCTAATCAAATAATTTTATAAATAGCTTTCACTATCTTCCCTCTTTATTTAGTTGATCCTCTACTGTAAGTTCTTCGAAAGATAATATTCAATTGTATATTGCTTCAGTTTTCATAGCATTGTTCTTTTCATATATTTTTGCCGTTCCCCAATTTCAAGGCTCGTCTTCCCATTAAGTGGATGCCTCCAGAATCTCTATTCTATGGAACATCAACTACTATGAGCGATGTGTAAGTTTTTGCTACCTTCTTTTTTTCTAACCCGTTAAGCCTGAAGTTTTTAGCAGTTTTGTTAACCTCCATGGTGATTTGACAAAGTTTTACGAGAATCAGTTAAAGAGCAGAAGTGTCTTATGTTCTTTCATCTTCACCCAACATTTCAGTTTTCCTTAATTTCTTGACGACACAACCGCATTGTATGAGACTGATACGTGTTGTTAACACTTTTCGGAAACAGTTTCACAAAGTTTGACGCGGTAGTATAGCCACTGCATGTCCAGGGAACCCGATGTATGAAAAACCTGTAATTATCAGAACAAGCTCTTTTCTTCGGCCAATCAGCACTCATTAATTTCAAATTTTATAGTGCGTGATGAAGGGTATTATATGGAGATTGATGTGAATATTTCTATATTCTACAGATGGTCTTACGGCATTGTGATGTGGGAGGTGTTTACCATTGGTATGTCTAGTAATGTGGAGAACTTCCCTCTGGCCACGGGACATAACACTTTGACTATAACATGTCTTTCATATGGCAGTTAAGGCTGAGCAAAACTATTGTAGATTCACTGACTTTAAAGATCTCTGGCAGGATTTTGAGGTTTAGGGATAATGGGTCGGATGAAATTGTACAGATATTTACCTGTAAAACCAGAATGAAGCGGCAAACTTGCTAAATTTTCTGCTCCCTACCTCAACCCAACCTCTTCCCCCCCCCCCCCCCACCCCTTTTCTCGTGGAGAGGCTATTCTAATGCATTTCCAACCGGACAAATCGGATCACAATTTTCTCAAAAGAATCTTCCCTTTGAGGGACAGGATGTTGAAGCACTGTCAACTTTTTTGTTACACATATCGTTTCAGGTGAGTCACCTTATCCTGGAAAAACATCCCGAAAAACTGCTAATTTGTTGCAGACAGGGTACCGTATGCCAAGGCCTGCACATATCTCACAAGAACTGTAAGTATACCTGCGGACTGCACTATCTTACCGTGCGAATAGAAAGATAAAGCAGGAAATTTACGATAAAGATTAAACTTTTGTTGCCGCCTACCGCCAAAGGTAAAGCATTTATATCTACCGAAAAGTGAGTACGAGTAGAATTTATTTTTTTAAGTACTGTTTTCCATAAATTTAAACTTAATATTTGTTATTTCTACGACTTCTCAGTTTTATTTAGCTAAAATTGAATACTGAAATACCTTTGACTAACCGATTTCATGGTCTGTGCTGCATTTTACGGACTACATTAAATTTTCCCTCGGATTTAAGGCTCTAATGCGGCCATAAATCCAAGCGGAAAAATCGAGGTCCATGACTTTAAACCAAGCATAGCGTACGTTCTAACTGGGAGATATAATAAGAATTCTGACTTAAAAAGTCATGCGAGATGCAGTTCTTGCTATTCAGATAGTGATGTTAATTGTTTCGGATGAACGGAGTAAATTATGTGAGTAATGACGTTATTCAGTAAATGGCACAGGCATACTCGGAAAAGAGAACTCCACTGAGCTACTGACAGGAGCCTCGAGGTAGACTAGGCGGTTTACTGAACTAGGCCCATGGTGAAACATTTCTTCACGATGCTAGCATTAGGAATCGACATGTGATTCTTTTGCGCGATGATGAATGAAGATGGTAAATTTTAAGCGAGGTAGTTTGGCAAAAGATGATGTTATTTAAGCATACTCGGAAACATGAACTCAGAGTGCTAATACTGGGTGTTGAAAGTAAATTATCCTCTTCATTTTTTACTCGTTCTCTTTAAACTAGTAAACATGATATAGTATCAATGTCAAGAAAATAGAAGTTACTTCATAAATGTTAGTCATTCCTATTTCAGGTATTCGATTATGAAGGAGTGTTGGGAAGAAGAGCCCTCAAAGAGACCAACATTCCAGTGGCTTTGCTCCGCGATGAAACGACTGCTGGATGATCATAAGGTTTGTTTGCAATTATTTCCCCCGAGGTTATATTTTTGGTCTGTCATTTTACATCAAAGCCCCTGGTTATAGCATTCCTTGACTTCCCCCTCCCCCTCCTTGACAGATTTTATCCCTCCCTCCTTTCGATACGGTGTTTTATTATGCTTGAAGGGGGAGGGGAAGGGTACCATACAAAAGTCTAGGGATGATTTCTAGCTCAGAAGGATTCACTCACTAAGCATCCCCTCAATATAATTTAACAAGATATTCTTTGACAGGTGTTGTCTTGATCTTATCTCTTCTCCAGACTTATGTGAACTTGGAAATCTACGACGGCAAGAACTATGTTAACTTTGATATGATGATGGACAAGGAGTGATGAAAGTTGTTCAATTTAATTAATTTAATATTGGAGGGTAGAGGTTCAATGAACGACATATACCTCATTTATGACCTTACCTCTTAATTATGCAAGTAGAAGTGAAATTGGAGAAACTCCTTCATATTAACGATGCAAAAGGGTTCGCTTTGGAAATATTTGTTAATAGCGTTTGTATCAGGAAGTACATTGCGTATTATTTTACGGAGAAAACCGTTTAGCGAAAATTTTGGACTTAAAGTTAAGTTTAATATTGGAATTTGTTAGAAATTCTTAATTTTCGACAAATATTCGAAGAAAGCTTTTACTCAATGAATTGTTGAAAATATAAAAGTAGATTTTAGCTTGTAGCCTAATTAAGCACGTTTTAACTATGTTTATTCTCTGGCTTATATACTACAGCAGCATTAAAGTTGTAATACAGGCTTGAATCATACAGTCGGTCTCTGTATGAAAGTATTATTATTAAGGATACCTTTAAGGACAGCGAAAGACATCTTGTATCAAACTTTCAAATTTTTTGGACCGAGATTTTGGGGAACGGTTATTTCGACAGCAAGCTTAAGAAACAAAATTTGAAATTTTTAACATTCAATAACACCTTTAAAGATCAATTGCATTCTAATTTTTAGGATATTAGTTGGAATTATAGCTTATAGTGAATAAATCAATAACGTCAAACTAGCTTATCGGCTGACACGAAAGATTTCGCGACAAACATTTGGTGCTAACAAAGACACATTGCCAAACTCTCGCAAACATGTCTTAACTATTGATGAAACCTGTCTGTAGTTCTTCAACTTCAATGTCATTCTGGGCTGAAATAATGGTCATACCTAACTCTCACCAAAGAAATGCACAAGTTCATCGTGATACCACGATCATGATACCATGATCCCGAGCTAAACGAACTATTCTGCCCAGAAGCATCCGTAAATGAACCCATAAAATTAAGAATAGTTAAAGGCCAGACATTACTTGAAAGTTACATTTAAAAAGAGGAAACTCCTCCCTCCTGTCAGCCGAAAAAAAAAAACTCCAGATGCACCGAAGACACTTTTTCGAGGCACACCTTTCTGGGAATTTTTGTGCGACGCATTATGAACAACTTCCAGTGACTCAGTGATTTTCCAGTAACCTCGCATTAAGGGATCGCTCAACGAACAAGAATGGTGGTTAGTACTTAATTCGTGGGTACAATGAAACCGAGAACAATAAGTTATTAGTTACACTGCGTGATGTCTTTGATAGGAAAAGATCATAATACATTCTAAAAGGCATCCGAGTCCGTAGTTACAGTCAAGATTTAATAATGATAGAATGAGCGAAACCGAGGGTATCTAAAATGCCATTCAACAAGGCTCGAAACTCTCTCACTTACTTATTGATTCTTCTCACCAGCTTGTAAGTTAAACCGTACTACTATGAGAAATTATGACGTATTTTAAAGAATTAAAGGTTTAGTTATGATACCCCTCAAAATGCTGCATTATATCTTTTTATTTCACCCTCAATGAAACGGATTCTAGCGAAAAAAAGGTTTCAAATTGAAGCCATAATGGAAAATTTCTCTTAATCACTTGGATCAAAGCATAGGCAACGGTTGCAAACTACGACAAGTCTACAACCGTACCAAATAATGGAGGTCACGCGGAATCAAACCCATGGAGTCGTCTACCTGTGAGTTTGCTGTAAAGTGTCATAACAAGCACGCCATTTGAAAGCATTACTTAAATGTTCTTTGATTTACTGGCGATAGTTCGAAATTCCCCGCCTCTTATTTTGCAAAGAGTTGGTACCAGAAAACGGTTTGTTAGAGAGTCTGAGCCTTTCTGCAAGGAATTCAAGAATTTATGGGCATTTCACCTGTACTTTAATATGCGTTTTGTAACTTGAAATACTCCATGACAGAGTGGTTTTGTAATTGACTATTTCAATTATTTTCCTTGTTTTGATATTTTTGTACTCCACTGAAAGTTTCATCATTTTGAATTATTCCCTTCTTATCTCCATAATATACGATGGAATGATATTGTCCTAGGGGACAATTTTTTTGAAACTAGGAGAATACAAGAATACAAGAATACAAATACAGCATAAAATTACGGTTTGAAATCTGTTAAATGAGATTCTAAGGCCGCGAAATCGTCTATAAAGTTATGAAAATGTATTTTACAATCCATGTGGGAAATAAGCTACATAATTATAGAAAAAACCTTTTTTTGTGGTTGATGCAAAGTTTGTTCAGTGAAATTACACTAATTTGACCATTTGATATAACTATGGTCATAAACGTAACAAGGATAATTTATTACAATCGCAGCTACTGTGACCACTGCACGCAAGAAAAGCTTAACCTAGAATTGCGTCACCATTTCGTTCAGCAGGTCTGCTTAGTATATTTATTAACTTTCATCATTAGAAACCAATGAATTCGAATAAATATATTCCACATAATTCATTGGTTGCCGCTTTTCTAGTTCCTTTCTTGTTCTAATCCTCGGTGAAAAACGTGACTCCAACTCTGCCTATATTCATCAGCGAATATAAATAGGTGCTAGGTACTGTCAATAACTGGCGTGACGAATTGGAGGGGTAACTTGATGTGGACGAAAATCCCATCCAGGAGGAATGATGACACTCCTCGTCATTTCATGCTTAAGACGCCGGGATGAGCAATGGCTGCTTAGGGCAATGACCTGTTAAAAGTTAGCCTTTTTTCCAACAAAGTTTCCTCAGGATCTTCTTCGGTTATTTTTATCGCTATTCAGTCTTTCATATTTCTCCATAAGTGTGCTCTGCATGTTTGAAAGTTGATCCCGTAGTTGTTTTCACAGAAGCAACGCTTCTTTTATGTTAAGCCCTAGTCGTCGTTGAGTAGAACATGACTCAATGTTACTTATCGTCAAATGGCTTCACTCCAGGCGCACATTAAGTCTATGTGATACAAATTTGATTTATTAACTTCTGCCTCTCGGGTGACTTCGTAAGTTTCATCTCAAGAATGCGTTATAAACCACTTCATCATTCTTATGTTACGTACACACAGTGTCTGTATAATAGCGCAGAACGATGTTTTCACTGGCGCAAATTTCCATTTCCGCCGGCAGAAACAACGAAAAAACGTGTGGGAGGCTAAGAAAGTTTATTTTCTACACTGGCCCATTTAGCTAGGGTTTATTGGCGCTCATTCCTGTTGTAAATAATTTTTCCACGAGTAAGGAAGTAATCAACTTGTAAATCGTAAGTGTGTACTCTGTTTGTATTAACGTGAATTACAATTCGTAACAGTGAGGTAATCACGTCATGACGAACCAGAGCTGCCCAGGTTCTTTGATCTTTTGGCCTTCTTTTCATTTCACTAGGTTTAAGGTAAAAAGCGGTCTCTATGATATACGACCGTACCTTCGTGCATGCAGCGTCACTATTCGAAACTTCGATCACCTCTCAAGTCGAACCAACTTCCTCTCTACACGGAAGAAGCACTAGCACCAGTTCCGGTCTTCTTTCCAGCTTAATGAATTCAAATATTTATGATTGTATCACAGCGTAATACGAGAGAAAGTGTTTAAAGCAGAAAGAAGAACAAGCAGTGGCAGAAGCAGCAGGTAATTAATATAACGACCCCTAAAACTGTCGCCGTCTCTGTTCAAAAAATTATCAGACTTTAAAATCACTGAATGCTAATAAGCGTTATATGGCGTATCTGGCGTTCCATTTGTTCTCGAGTTGTGTAACTTTCACTTTGTCTTTAATCGTCATTTCCGCTGAAAAAATTCGACTACTTTGCGACTGAACTCATCAAAAACATTGGCTCCTTCGATATCTCCCTCAGCTAATCCTCTGTAATATATATTTATATCGAGGATATACAATCTTTCGTTTCAGTTTCCGAGTAATTTGGACAGTCTCCGATTACTTGCTGTTAGCTTAATCTTAATGTTGGAAGTGTGATCTGTAAACATTTTAACCATTTAAGGGTTTAGCCTCGATTGAGAAATCCAGATATGGTAACAGATGTAACTGAATTAATCATTCAACATTCGAAAGTCTAATTCAATGGTGCAAAAAATGCATTTTCATTTTTCAGGCATGAAAATTCGACCGACCACAGAGGACTTTTGATCTGCGCTTACAGAAATGAAATAATTGGCCTTGCTTATCTTTTAGGTGGCTCAATGTGCAGGATAGGGCCAATGGATCACCGCTTAATTACAATCGCTAATCTCCCGCAAATTCTGGCCTTTTCAGTGGCGGATAAAGGTATAGAATCTAATCTCGAAGCACTCCCTAATAATGATCATGGGAACTACTTTGGTGTCCAGTGTACGGAATACTCGACAATTTAGTAGTAGTAGTAGTAGGCAGTCGTCGGACCATGTCCATGACTTTAGCCCTCTCTCGTGGCTAAAAAGCCCAATTCTAGAACGGCAGACACGGCCGCATCCACTGCACACAAAGACACATGCCACTGGAACACACTTTGCTTTGTTCATTTCTGCTCTTCTCTTAGCTCTTCTATCAGCGGCTTCAGCTTTCAGCCTTTCCTCTCCCGCCTGGAGAACCAGACTGTACACAGACCTCCAATCACTCCGATCTGCAGCATGTAGCTCCCAGTTATCTGTTAGCAGGCCAGTGGCGAGCATATCTCTCTTGCATACGTCCTTGAAACGCAGATTAGGTCTGCAATAGGCCTCGAACCGGATTCCAACTCGCCATACAGCAGATCCTTAGGGATTCGCCCATCCTCCATCCGGTACACATGACCGAGCCACCTCAATCTGCACTGTCTTAGCAGGGTGAACATCGAGGGGATATCGGCTCTTGCAAGTACCTCATTGTTAGAGACCTTATTTGTCCATGAAATGGAGAGGATGCGACGAAGACATCTCATATGGAAGATGTTCCAGCGCTTCTCCTGACTAGCGTAGGTAGTCCAAGACTCGCTACCAAACAATAAGGTGCTCACGATGCAGGCACGATACAAAGCAACTTTAGTTTGGGTAGTTAGCTTCTTGTTCTCCCAGACACGGGCAGACAGCTTAGCCATGTTGGTTGCAGCCTTGCCAATTCTCTTTCCAATCTCCACTTCAAGGCAGTTGTTGTTGGAGGTGGTGGAGCCGAGATAGGTAAACTGTGTGAAGGCTTCCAAGGTGTAATCTTTGATTGTTACGGCAGGCGTGGCTGCATTTGCCTGGCACATGACTTTCGTCTTCTTAAGGCTGATTGTAAGTCTGAAGGCCTCACATGCGTCAGAAAACTGATTGAGAAGGGGTTGGAGTTTTTCAGCGCTGTGAGCAACGAGGGCAACATCATCGGCAAAGAGAAGGTCACGGATAGCTACCTTGCGAACTTTGGTCTTGGCTCTAAGGCGCGCAGGGTTGAAGAGTTTACCATCAGAACGAGATCGTATCAGGATGCCTTCTTCAGAGGACTTGAAAGCGTGATTCAGTAGAACTGAAAAGAAGATGTTGAAGAGAGTTGGGGCTAGCACACATCCTTGTTTTACGCCGCTGTTTATATCGAATGCCTCAGACCTGTTTCCGTCATACTGCACTGTGCCCCGAGACCCATCATGGAACGATTTGATGAAGGAGTTTAGGAGGACAGCCAAGTAAGGGCAGAATCTTGAAAAGGCCGTCTCTACTAACAAGGTCAAACGCCTTCGTCAAGTCGATGAATGCAATGTAGAGTGGCTGTTGTTGCTCTTTGCACTTCTCCTGGAGCTGTCTCAAAGAG